AGCATTAGAGCACCACTGTAATATTCAAGTTATTAGTAGGCATAGAAGGTATACCGAGACCTTCCTGCACTTGGGCAGAGATTTCCTATCTGTTCCTTTGTGAAAGTGTTGAATGCAGACATTATTAGGGGGATAGATTGAATGACTTCTAAAAGTTGAACTTGTCTATTACCAGCCCATGAATCAATGACAGTTGGGAGGCTTCATTAGGTAAACAATTATTGTCAAAGTAAATCAGAACATCAATATTAACAAAAGATAAATGTCTATTTGAGCAACTACATTCAATTATGGATCTAAGGAATCCCAGTGATAGTTCCTTTTGCCCAACCAAACCCAAGAGAAGCTGAAGAAGAGTTAAGAGGTAGCTTTTCAACTTTAAAAAAATTAACCTATAATAAACTCTTTGAGAAGCAGGAGATGATTGATTCTAGGCAGAGGAGATGGTGAGATATGCTATAAAGCCCTAAATGGGGATAGGCTGGCAGGAAATTTTTCAGTTGCATTCTTTTCTCTTCTTGGCAAATCATTGCCTTCTCTGTTACAATCACAGGACCAGTGGGATAATGTTTTGGAAGCTGCACAGGTAAAGAACAGATAGCAAAAGTTCAGATGGACTAGCAGTCTTCTAAGCATCCCACAGTTGAGCAATGTCAACATCCTTGATATCCTTCTCCCCAGCCATTACTGAACTCCAGTATGGAGAGGAGGAATAAAGAGGGGCTCAATTTTAGACTTGAAAACAAGGGCTTCCCCACCATAAGGCACTTCCCCCAAATCACTTAGGAGGCAGGCTCCATCTTCTAATGCATCTGAAGAAGTACTAGTCAGAGCCCACTAATCTTTTGACCCTTACTTCACGAAGATGTTGCTAACTGTTATAACAGGGTCCTAGTGGGAACAGTGGCATTCTCAAACTGATAATTTAAGAAGACTTTGATAACACTATTTTCAGTTATGTGGGCAACATATCACAACATCTAAATGAGCAGGGAAGGTAGGTGATATGCAAATCACAAGGAGAAAGTCATTTAGAGAGGGCTGTCTTCATGGGGATGCCAATTTTCAGTCACAGACACACCTGACAGCATAGGAGAGAAGGAAGAGAATAAATACTCTTGACTCCACATCCTTTCCAATATTCTCCACCTGGGGTTCTCCAGTGATGAAACCCAATTGGAAGCCAGAGGGCAGGGGAGTCTATTGTTTGTAGAGCTCAGCTTCCAGGGGCACTGAGCAAGGTGGGGAAGGGTAGTGATTGGATCTGCAGGGGCAAACAGAAGACCTCCTGAATACTAAGTTAGCTGAGAATCCCAAGGGATGAATAATGAGACGTGGGTATAAAGATTATAAAATGAAAAGAAGGGAAAACTTGTGCGTGCACATGCACATACACATACACACACACATACACACAAAGAGAGAAAGAGTGCAGGGTTAAAGAAACATAAACTTTCAGTAAGTAGATAATAGATAAATAAATAAATAACAGAGATATTAGAAGGAATATTAGAAACAAGAATCAGAGAAAAACAATTCTGAAAAATAGCCAGTAGGACATTCACAATGGATAATGACATCACAAAAGGGTTTAACAGCAGAATGGATACAGTCAAAAAACCAAGAGTGAAATACAAGATTTATGTCAAGGAGCTCTCCCGGAAGACTCTGGGTAAGGATAAAGAAATGCTGAGAGTGAAAGAATAGAAGATTTGAAAGAAAGATCAGTATCCATCTGGTTGGAAGCCCAGATATAGGTAAATACAAATGAAAACAAGAACATAAATTAAGATATAATGATCAAGAGCCTCCCATAAATGAAGAAACACCTAAGACTCCAAAATAAAAGAATTTTAAGAGGGTGAGCATACAGAAGAAAAAAACCCATCCTAAACATATTAGAGTGAAATTTTACAGCAAAAAAAATCACATTTCTTAATAGCATATCTATATAAAAGAAGACACATACATTAAAGAAATGAAAGAAAAAAACTTTCCATGTTGAATTTTATAATATTCTTAGGGATGCATGTTTCAGAGAATTTGCTATATTAATACTCACTCTCTATTTTTTTGGCAGTACTGGGGATTGTGCATGTGAGGCAAGTACTCTACCAACTGAGCTATATCCCCAGCCCTTAATACTCTCTTTGAAAGAATAATTAGAATATGTACTCCAGCAAGAAGGGAAATAAATACAGGGGAATGCAACAAAATATGAAAAGAAAATATAATTAAAGAACATAGTAAAATTTATTTTTGCTTAGTTAAACCTTAGCCAAGACAAACAGCAAGCCTTATATACATAACAATTCGGAAATAAAATTTTAGCTCACGCCCTCATGGTTGGGAATGAAGGTTGTGTGTGGAGTAGCAAGAAAAGGAAATGAGAGTGTGCTCAAGTTCTTGACACCTTTGGGGGAAAATACGGTTTCTGATTACCTAAAGATATTGATGGAAGAAAAAAGGGATAAGTGAGGACTTAAAAATTAGCATTAACTATCCTAAGAATAGATAGATTTTTAATGTTCAAGCATAAGAAGAAAACTGTAATCTATCCAGTGGAAAACAGGAAACAAATAACAGGAAGAAACACTTTTAAAAAACAAAGGGGCTGAGGTTGTGGCTCAGCAGTAGAGCGCTTGCCTAGCACATATGGGGCCCTGGGTTCGATCCTCAGTGCCACATAAAAATAAATAAAATTAAGTTATTGTGTCCATCTACAACTAAAAAAATTTTAAAAAATGAAAATCAGTGCAAAGGAAGAAACTCACTGCAGACTTTTAGATTAGACTTTGGAGTAAAATCTACTAATAAACTGTTACAACCAACATATTTAAAATGGCCTCACAGATATGGTTAAATGGGAAAAATCGATATGGTAAGTTTAATAAATAGAGAAAAAGCAACTAACAAAGCTTACATCTATTTTCTGATGCATGGGCAACACAAATTAAACAGGAGAGTGTGGGGATTCTAGCAATATAGCCAGGAACACTTAAGAATTTGATACATAATAGTGATAACAGGAAAAGGAACAATTATTTAGTAGATGTTGCTAGAATATATATATATATATATATATATATATATATATATATATATATATATATATGAATGGCCAAAGAATAATTTGATAGATGGGCTTTCCCTATAAGAAAAAAAGTAAGACTGGATCTCTGTTGAACTATAGTAATTAGTTATAGGTTGAGATATGCATATAAGTATTCACAACAAATAAAGTCACAGTGTTTTAAACAGGTAGAAGTTTATTTCTCTCTCCTGAAGGAAAAGTCTAGAGGTGGGATGCAGGGCTATAATTGCAACTCTATAATTATCATTGAAGTCTTCCTATCCTGCTGCTCTGCTATCCCCAACATATAGTATCCATCTCCAAAATCCTTTCATGGCCCAAGATGGATACTGATGCTCTAGACATCACTATATCAGTCAAGGCTAGTAGTAGAAAGAATCAAGGGAAGAAAAACAGGGATTTACCTTCTACATTTAAAGAGTTTTCCAGTATTCTCTCATTCTCTTGTTTATATCTAGCTGATGAAAACTAAGTCAAATAGCCTCACCCAAATGTAAAGGAGTCTGGGAAATGTGGTCTTTATTATGGTTGGCAATATGTTCATCTAAAAACTGAGGTTCTGTGCCTACAGAACAAGAAGAGAATGAGTACTGAGAAATAACTAACAGTACTGACTACAAAAATCTGAGCTCCAAGTTGGTTAGAATCATAAATATGGGAAGCATTACTACAGGGCCATGTGTGAAGGAAAACAAACCAGAATGAACTTATTAGGTATAGTAAAAAAATTTGAAGTAAAAAATTTGGCTCTACCAGCTGAAAAAAACAAACTGTCAGAGCTCAAAGGAGCCATTTAGTCACCCATTCATTCCACAACTATGTCCTGAACTTTTATAATGTTCTAGGGACCCACTGAGAATCAAAACAGATGGGTCTATACTTGGAGTTTCAGTCTAGAGGTGGAAATAAACAAGTTCCTCCCTGACTTTTGAACTTAACACAAATACTGATTTTTTCTTTCCTCCATAAATGTCTGGAAGGATCTTTGGATGAAAGCCTCTTACTCAAACTTTAGGTTGTATTTAAAGGTTACATCAGAAAGGCCTGTCCTAACAAGTTTGTCAGAAGTAGATGTCCCCTTACACTGCATCATGCTCTTATCATAGTGTCCTGTTCATGTCTTTCTTGTACACATCACAATGTTTATTGTGATACATTTATTGACATTTTTGTTCAATGCCTAAAGTTTTCAGACAGGAAAATGAGGTCTAGGGAAGTAACTCGACATTCAGAAAGTAATTATCAGAAACAGAATTAAAACCCAAGCTACCTAAGTTCATAAAAACCTTTAGAAATTACATAATTTCCCAGTTTACCCATTTTTAAAATGTAGTCTGTAATCTATCCTTATATGGAAATGAGGCAAAAAAAAGAAATAAAAAGCACTCATAAAAATATCTCATTTTATATCGTATGTCATGTAGAGAAATGGGAGAGTGCAAAATAACTATTTCAAACCTTATTATGAGAAGCCAGGTGCGGTGACACATGCTTGTAATCCCAGCAACTTGGGAGGCTGAGGCAGGAGGATCACAAGTCAAAGCCAGCCTCAGCAACTTATCGAAGCCGTAAGCAACTTAGCTAGACCATGTCTCAAAATTTTTAAAAGGAGGTGAGGATGGGGATGTGGCTCATTGGTTAAGTATTTCTGGGTTCAATCCCCAATACAAAAAACAAAAACAAAACAAACCTTATTATAAGACTAGAGTCATCAAGAATGTGGTACTGGCCTAGGTAGAGACATGTGGATCAGCAGAAGAGAGCTGGACGTTAACTCACACATTAATGGTCAATTATTTTTCTCAAGAATAAAACAGAAGTAAAAAAAAAAGTAAATCTTAGTGATCTAGCATCAGGCAAATATTTCTTAGATATGACACTAAAAGAACAAACCACAAAAGATTGGTTGTTATCAAAACAATTTTTTTTGTTTCAAAGGATATCATCAACAAAGTGAAATTACAACTCCCAGAATGGCAGAAAATATTTGCAAATCACATATCTAAAAAGAATTGGGCATGAACAATATAAGAAAATATATAAGTGGCCAATGCACACATGAAAAGATTCTCAGCTTCACTAGTCATTAGGAAAATGCATGTCAAAAATCACAATGAGATACCACTTCGTGCACATTAGGATGGCTCTAATGAAAAAGACGGCAATTACCAGTATTGGTGATGTGAAATTGGCACCCTTCTATTTTGCTAGTAGAAATGTCACCTGCTTGGGAAAAATAGTTCCTCAAAGTTAAACATGGTTAACATATATCCCAGCAATTTTATTCCTAGAAATATATTCATGAGTTGAAAACATATGTTCATATAGAAATTTACATATGAATGTTCACAATAGCATTACTCATGTAAGTAAAAAATGAAATCAACCCAAATATCTATCAACTGATCAAAGAATAAACAAAATGTAGTATATCTGATAAATAAAATATTATTAAGCTATAAAAACTGAAAAAGTCCCAAGCCATAGTAAAACATAGATGAACCTTAAAAATTCATACTAAGAAAAGGCAAACACAAAAAATTGTACATTGCATGTTTCCATTTGTATGATACGTCCAGAATAGGCAAATCCATACCAACAGAAGATAGATTAGTGTTTGTTAGGGACTCAGGGAGGGGAGAATGGCAAGTGACTACTAACTGGTAAAGGGTTTCTTTGGGGAGTAAGAAAATGTTTCAGATTTAGATAGCAGTGATGGTTGTACAACCTCGTGAATATAATAAAATCCACTGAATTATGTATATTAAAAGGGTGATTTTATGAAATTTGAGTTACAATAATATTTTAAAATATCTTAAAGATATTTTTAAATATTTTTCCTGTTGTAGTGCATATTAACTTCCCACTCCCATCAATTCTAGGGTTATCCAACCTCCCTCATTCTCCCCCTCCCATCCTTTACCACCCCCATCATGGAATATCCATTTGGACAGTTATATTTTTATAAAACCCTCCTTCCTGGCCTCTATCTATTGTTCCCTATAAATCCTTATGTCAGGATCCCTTTCCAGGATTTCAAACTTGGGAACAGACAAAGAAGCAGTTAATCCTTCATTAGTGAGCCAGTCTGCAGAGAGGTAAATTAGGCTGATCTCAGAAAGAGACAGGAATGGAAAACAAAGAACATGTCTTGGGGTCATCTGAGTCCTGATTCCAGATGTCTTGGACACCAGATGCATCTGCATCTTCCCCACAAGTTGGTTTTTCAACCATTCCTTAGGTGCCATGAAGAGTTGCCTCTTCTTCTATCACTGGTGATCACACTGATGCACTTTACTATGTGTAGTATATTATAGTTTATGGCAAAGTAAACTATATGGTAAAGTTTACTGTTGATCAAAAATGAAAAGGAAAACAGGTCTAAGGGCTAATACTTGTGGAGACCTTACTCTGTTGGATACTGTTTTTTAATAAACTGAAGCATAGAAAGCCTTAGAAACTTCTTCAAGTTCACAGAGCTTGAATAAGTTCTCAACGTCAGTATCAGCAATGTCACTATTTATAATCACCATACTGTGTTGCTTCCTATAGGATAAAATATCATATATATGAAAAGCACTATTATTTAGAAGAAACTGACACAGGAAGTTTCCATGTTAGAATGATTAAATAACTATTCTGAGATGTGGGTTTCTTTAAAAAAGCAATTATCTAGAAATTTATTATATAGGAACTACAAAAAATTATATAGAAACTTTTAAGATTATATAAAATTATAATTACATAGAAACTATTCATGACATTTGGTATTTTTTTTACCTCTGATTTCAGTTTTCTGCCTTTAAGTACTTGTATTTATTACCTGAATCCAAATTAACTCATATAAGTTAATATAAGTGGTCCCAGTTACCATGGATCAGTGAAATAAGTATTTCAGCCTATACTGTGACAGAGCCACATACAGTGTCTGTTAGGTTCCCAAAGAAAGAAATGTTCATAACCTGATGTTTTTATTACCAGGAGAGTCAGTAAATGATCTAGAGTTCACACTAGAGCTGCTGAGGTTGACAGACTATGATTCCATCATCTGAAATGCACATAGGGTATGCTATCGCAGCTGTAAATCAGAAAGGCACTTATGCTGCCTGGTTCCCCTTGCAAGAGTATCGCTAAATTCATGTTAAACTTATAAGCTGCTTTCTTGAGAAGACTAGAAAATCGGATTCTGGTGAATCTCAAGGCTTACCCAATTTATCTCCAGCAGAGGTTGATAAGTTGTACGTTAAGCCTTTCCTGTCCTTCCTCTCAGCCTTCCCTGCTGAAGGATGGATCAACGTTTTGTTAAAAGAAACATTCAGGGGCTGGAGATGTAGCTCAGTGGTAGAGTGCTTGCCTAGCACACAAGTGGCCCTGGGTTTGATCCCTAGCACCACAACAAACAAATAAATGAACAAACACACACAAAAAGTCACCTATAGGAGACAGTTTGTTCTCTGGACTCTTTAGGCGCCTGTGTTGGATTTCCCATGGAGTGCTAATTATTGATGAAAACCTGTTAGATGGGGTCTGTGCATTGGGAATCCTTGTACAAAGAACAGGAAATGAAATTACCACTTCATTTCACATAAATATCAAGCAGTCACAAAGTAGGTAAGAACCAGTGCCAACATCAGATATGATCTGGTGACACCCAGGGAGCCTGCTGGCTTTAGGTATGAGTTAAGTAGGGTGCTGAGATGGGTGAGAGATCAAGCTGGCTCGAATACCTCCTCTTCCAGAATGCAGGACAGTATCTAAAATTCCATGATTTGAGTTTCATTCCTTAGTTTAAGCCTCCTAGATTATTGAATTATAATCAACCTAAGGGAAGCAGACATTTTAAATAGAATCAATTGTTTGTGTCTTCTTGTGAGTGAGTACCAGATCCTATCCTGGAGTGTGCTTTAGGAATGGAAAGAACAAAACATGGGAACAACCCAGCAAAGAAAGATGACCAGCAGGAGTTTAGAACAAACCCAAGTTGTCCAAGTCCTGCCTATCTGTGCCCATCTCTGTCTCATAAGTTTTTTGCTTAACTATTCAGTCATCCAAGTCAAGAGGAATCACAGGAGGAAATGGGACTTGTATCATAAAAAGAAATGGCAGTGGGCCTCAAGTCAACAGAAAGAAGGGGAGAGACCAGGGACATTGTGGTTGGTAACAACTAACTAGGTCATGAGCCAACAGAAAACAAAGTAACAATGCAGAGCAACAAGTCTGTTATACAAATTAGTAAAACAGAGTGTCTAAGTGCAGGTTGAATCTGAGCAGGGTTGATAAGAGAACACTTTCTGCAGAAGAGATCTAAGCTTCACCAGAAGCTAATGTCAGCTAAGTCAGCAGAGGAGAGGCCATTCCCAGGAGGGCTTTTTGGTTTGTTTCTGTTTTGTCTTGTTCTTCGTAACTACTTAATATGTACATATGAGGGTAGACATTAGTTATATGGATCTCAATTACCCTATTAGAGAAGATTGTTCAATGAAACAAGCCATTCCTGCTGTCACTGAAAACACTAATAAAACTATGGATTGCAGCTCTGGAAAGTTTTTCTAAACCTACCTTCCTCTATGATTTCCTGATAACCAGGACCCCACTCCCATTGTATTTGTGATATTATAATAGTATGTTTGGGGCTATTTTCCTCAAGAGTTTGCAGGTTGCTCAAGTATTACGATCATGTCTTATTCATCCTAGTAACCTCAATATTGCTGGCACTCAATAACAGCCATTCATTTGGCCAGTATTAATTGAACACCTGCTATATGACTGGTGGGATAGTATGATATATAAAATAGAAAGGGCTTGGGTTGGGGTGTGGCTAAGCAATAGAGTACATGTTTAGGATGTGTGAGGACCTGGATTCAATCCCTGGCACTGGAAAACAACAATAACAAAGCAAACCAAATCAAAAAAACAAAAAATTTTAATTTTGATACATTCAATTAATCCACCTGTTCTTTTGGTATTTGTTCATTTTATGCCATATTTAAGAAGTGATTCCCTGATCCAAGGCAAAAACCTCATAAATTTTATAGTTTTAGCCCTTACATTTAAGTATGTGATAATTTGGGGTCAACTTTTTATAGGGTGTGAAATGGGGGTTCAAATACATTCTTTTACACATGAATACTCAGTTATCCCAGTACAATTTTTTGAAGAAATTATTTTTCCCAATTGAATTTTCTTGGTACCCTTTTCAAAATCAGTTGGACAACATGTACAAGTATATATGTGGATTCTCAATTGTAGCTTTGTAATAAGTTTTGAAACTGGGAAGTATGCATTCTCCAACTTCCTTTTTTGAGATTGTTTTGGTTACTTTGGGTTTCCTGTATTTTCATATGAATTTTAAGACCACTTATTGATTTCTGCAAAACAAATAGCTAGGATTTTGATAGTATTGTGTTTAATATTTTTATAATTATAAAGTAACTTTTAGATGATAGCCAATAAGCTTTTCTAAGTAAAGAGGTTATCAAGGATAATCACTTTTAAATATTTTAATTGTTCCAAAGGACTAAATGTGGGTTCTTTATTATCATTTTTAAGTAACTTTATTCACTTTGAAGAAAAGTTACATTGAATACATGCAAAAATGAATTTCAAAGAGTGTTCATGAATAAAGATGGGTGCTGCCAAGTAATTTACAATACTCTTACCAAGAACCAGTGCTCTTTAATCAGAAAATTTAAAAAAAAAAATAAATTTGCAAGGGATTTTTTTTTTCCTTTTGAAGAAAGCTGATTGCTAATTAATAAAAATGAGGACTGCAGAGCTCCAATAAATGAGAATGTGAGGAAGAGACTGAAAGATGAATTTTCAGGGAATGAAAATTCAAAAAGCAACAGCCATGCTTCAATCTGTTGGTGTAAGCTCTTAAGATGCTCCCTTGGAGAAGTCTGATTGCCTTGGGATTTGAATTAGTGTCACTTACTGACAAAAATATTTCAAAATGTTTTCCTTATGAGTTTGCATGCTTAGCCCTTGCAAATGATGTTTTGTTCCACTGCTTTTTCTTCGGATCACTTACCTCTACTTCCTCCTCACTGGATGCTTCCTTTTTTTGTTCCTGTTTTTGAATTTCACATTTGGATGTCAAAAGGTATCTTAAAATAAATTTAAAATACACTATTATTTAAATATTTGATTTTCTTATATCCAGGTCATCGCCAACCATAGTATATCAAGGTCTTGATTTATACCCTGAAAAACTGACAAGGACCTGACCTAAGTGTAAAATATCCTAATTAAAATTAAATTTGGTATTCCTAAGACAAATTCATTTCAGTAGGATTCAAGATTGAGTGGATAAACTAAATTTTGCTCTATGGCAAATACTATGTAATAAAGGAAAAAATACTCAAGTAAGTATGTCATCGATGGGAATTTTGTCAGTTGCAAAATCAATTATAAATTATAATAACCACTCTGTTGACCACTGTGGCAAAATTCAATTCCCTGGTTTGTTTGTGAATGATACATCTTCTTATAATCTCTGTTCATAGAAGGGACCCCATTTTGATACAGCTGTATATGAAATGTAAATAGGGAGGTAACCCTAAGAAAAACCAAGTAGCATTTTCCAAAATAAATGTTAAGTGATTCATTTTTCATATCTATTATTTTGAATCCCTGGATCCACTGACCTCCTGTGTTTACTCTAAATTACTAAAAGTTTAACATATGCAGAGTTAACATGTTTGGGCTTTTTGAAAAGGTAAACATGTTAAATCAAACACAACACCACACAGATATATTCACTTTCACTGGTGGTACTGAAAGATTCAAACTACTAGTTAGGTGCGGTTTCTGAGAATATCCTTGGTTAGTCTGGGTTGAAACAACTCAAACCTGGGCTCTCTTTGCCAGAAAACCCTTTTGCAAAATTTTTATAATAAAATATACTTTTCCAAAGTTAGGATTTTTGAGGCTTCCATATTTTTAAATTTGTGATTTGCTTGCATAAGAGTATACTGTACTCTATATAATAGTAGCTTTGAAACTCATTTTGATTCTGATCCACATAAAAAGTACATTTTATCTTATAACTCAGCACACATACCTGTACGTGCAAAACAACACAAGTTTTATGAAACAATACTTACTACAAGCAATGTATTCCATCTGATATTTTCCATTGTATTCCATTTCTTTCATTTTGTAAAACTGCTGTATACTCCACACAAATTATGTCACAACTCTGGAATGGTTTTTCAGCCTGCAGTCAAATAAACACTGTTCAGAGAAAGACAGTTTTATCACATCAGAGCAATGTTAGCATAGGCCTTCAGTTTGTCACCTGATAACCCTAGCTTTGATTCAACTGTTACCCCATTGTGAGTGACCTCTAAGTCTATATTCTTTCCAGTTTTCTTTCTTTTGTAATAACCTTAGACGCCACCTACTGTAGGTAAATACAAACACGCAAAAAGATAAAACAGCAATCCTGTAGCATAAGTCCTAGGCTTTTAAAAAATCCTCATCTTAAACATACAATCTATAAAATTGGTAATTATGTATGTAATCAGCAATCAAGAGCAGGGCAAATATTGAAGGCAAAATAGTCCCACAAAAGCAAAATACGTGTGGTGTTAACATTTGCCAGTCTCCCTCTCTCTAGACTTGTTTTTCATTCCTTGTCCTCCCTGATGTCAAATATTTGGCTTGGTGGGTAGAATACGGTTGCCTTCTTTGCCTTAATGTCTGCTTTCTTTCCCAGAAAGTTGCTTTTCTCTTAGACTCATGGCAGCCTTCCACACAGTCTCTCCCCATCCTTCTCTTGCACTCTTAAGAATGGAAGCTCTTTTATTCAGTCCAGGGCACTAGCTCTCTCTTGACTCCTCACCCACTAATCAATCACTCATTGCCCAAGGATTCCCAGTAAACTCTGGCTCCCCTTCCTCCCCTGCCAGAACATCGTTTCAGCTTTCATCAAACAAAGGCTCGTGATTACATAGCCAACCTAGACAGGGATACAGCATAACAAGACGGGGTTTTAAAGAAATGCAGACCTCGATTCAGTCAGCACCGGATTTTATTAGGTAAAAATATTACTCATTGTATCTAACCAGCATAAGATAAAGATTTTATTTGATTATTTGATTTAACCAGAGATTAGGTGAAATTAATTGAGCCATAGGGAACTCCCTACTCCTGGTCTAGCTACAGAAAAAGTCCCTTTAATAGTCTTGGGCTTTCTCTTTAGCTCTACCTATATGGACTTTGCTAATGAGGTTGTCACTATTTTTTGATACTGAGGATTGAACCAGGAGTGCTTTACCACTGAGCTACATCCCCAGCCCTTTTGATTTCTTATTTTGAGATAGGGTCTCACTAAGTTGTTGAGGGCCTCACTAAATTGCTGAGGCTAGACTCAACTTGTGATCCTTCTGTCTCAGCCTCTATGAAACAGTGGTCCACTTCACCTTTTGAATATACCTCTGAGGTTTAATTTTAAAAGGGACCTGTTTTCCTTTTCCTCTTCTCCCTCTCCCCCTCCCTGACCTAGGAGTGGGGAACAAGATTTCCTTGAGTTATCTGTGCTCCACAGGAAGGAGATGTCTGCCAGAGGATCTAGGAGGTGGACATCTCCCAAATTAACAAGCGAATCCTAACGCACCTTCAGGGTGCTCTAAGACCCCCTACCAGAGCACACCTGGAATGCAACCCTTGAAGAGTTCCTTTAAAATCCCCATTCCTCCTGTTGGGTAGACTCACAGCCGCAGGGATGGGAGTCCCCTGTGTTTCTCCTTTGCTAGCAAAGCAATAAAACAACTTTCTCCTTTTTCTCCAAACTGTGTCCTCGTTATTAAATTGGTGTTAATTGGCATTGGGAACAAGGACTGAGCTTTAGGTTACACCCAGAGTTCCTGGGATTACAGGCACCTGGCAGGTTGTATCACTTTTAACCTTCCATCTTTTGCTCCCAGGTTTTTGTTAAGTACTTTTACTTTTCCCACAACGCATCTTTCTTTCTTTGTGATTCAGTTGCCTGAAACTAAATACAGGAAATAGCATGGAGTAGACCTATATCATCAGTATCCTGTTCAAAATCGGTTTAGCATTTGCCATATTTTATCATATCATTTCATCTAAAAAATTTGGCTAGTCAGGTGATGTGGTGCATATCTGTAATCCCAGCAACTCAGGAGGCTGAGGCAGAAGAATTGCAAGTTTGAGCCTAGCCTCAGTAATTTAGTAAGATCCTGTCTCAAAATTCAAAATAGAAAGGGCTGGAGACATAGCTCAGTGGTAGAGCACCCCAGAGTACAATCCCCAGTACTGCAAAAATAAAAAATAATTTAAGATTAAAAAAAATTGATTAGGTAATGTCATATCCGATGAACAATGCTCACATAGAAGAATAACTTGTTTGACTTTTTGCTTAATTGTTTTCATAATTTTAAATAGTTGATATCAATATTTGATATTTTCAATATTATATAAAGATATAAGGATAAAAGTGAAGATCAACTATTATTCCACTACCTAGAAATAACCACTGAAAGTACCTCGGTTTTTATCCATGGATACATTTTTTCATAAAAGAGTGAATGTGCATGCAATATTTTAGAAAATTTAAAAAGCAACATAGCCTTTGGGTGGTTGGAGTGAGGGTTTTTTTTTTTTTTTTACTACTTCCTTACATCTTTCTCTGCTTTACACATTTTAAAGAATGTTTATGGTTGCAAGCCATAATAAAAGAAAGTCAAAACCACAAAAGACTAATAAGCAAGAAGCCAAGGTGAGGAAAGAAGTTCTTTGGCTGGCAGGGCTGATGGATGGTGGGATAGGTAGGGTGCTGGGAGGAAGGGGTGCAGGTAAGGTGGGTAGGAGTCTACAGAGGAAGGAAGTTTCAATTAATCATGTATAATTCTCACTTCCTGCTGTACTCAGAACTTTCACACCTGGATGCACCTTCATGATCACTTTCAAATATATGCTTATATTTTCCAGGACTTCACCAAGAGCTGATAAAAAACAAACACACACAACAACAAAATTGACTTACATCTTTTGCCAATGAAAAGAAGTGAGGAATAATTTATAAGTATTTCTTTAACTTCGGCTGTTTGAATCACTATGAAAAATCCCACTCATACCTAGGATGTGGCTGGCAGGAAAGATGTGGTTATTATCTGCGTTTCCGCCATCAGGCACTAAAGGAGGAAGTGCGCACATCTCTGCAGGGCTAGCACTGACTCCCCATAGACTACTATTTCAGTGCAACTCTGTTAAATTACACTCCTTCGCCTATCCCAGGAAACTCCCCTCTCCCTAATGAAGCATTTATCACCATCTCCGCGCTAAATCTACAGCCTATTCCCTCTTCCGCACCTTCATATCTCGGCTCCATCCATCTCCTTCCTTTGTTTTACTTGGGAGGGAGGCTTGTTATATATTGCTTGTATAATGCTTTAATCATGGACCATGGGTTACTTTACAGCTCCCTGAAAGCCTTGACAAGGCCTCTATATAAATAAAATTATTATTATTAAAGTCAATTAATCAGAGGCACAATTCACTCTTCAGCATCTGACATCCCAAAGACTTACTCATACAGAAAAGACTTTTTGTTCACCACGAGAGCAAAGACATTTTTTCAGAATAAAGATTATTAAGCAAGATACTATAGATTTAATTTGATTGTAATTTGTACATTACATACAGAAGTGTTGACCTGTTAAGGATCAATGATTGATGAGCAGTGAAATAAAATATGCTACTGAGTAATTGTGTTCCAAGAGTGCTAGTGAGGCTTGTTGTACAATTTGCAAGCAATTTTAATTCACACTCAGCAAAAGATAGAGAGAAGCAGCTCCTTGTATAATTAGAATCTCTCTCCACCCCAATTTCTTTTGACAGGTCCTCTATCTGAAGTAGCTAATTCTTTCCTGTTTCCTCCTCTTAGCAAACTTCTTATTGATATATGTATGTACACATTTATCACCATCTCCACACTGTACACACACACACACACACACACACACATATAGACACATATATGTATATATGTATATTTACATATATACACATATATATACATAGAGAGATATCAAGACATATACACACACAATATACATACAGACAAGAGCACAACTGTAATTGTACAGCTCAATAATTTTCATAATCACAAAAAAATGACCACACAGATCAAGCAACAGAGCATCACCAGTCTTCAGATGATCCCTCTACCACCACCCACTTACCACCCCACTCAGAAGTAATCCTGATTGCTATCCCCACATTTCTTTTGTCAGTTTTGTAATTTTCTATACACTCAGTCCCATAAGATGTGTTCCTTTGTTCTGCCCAATGATTTGTTTTTTATGATACTTAGGTTTTCTGTTATATTTAAGTTCCTTGCTATGAGGCAGGAATCATTAAGAACAAGGACTAAAAAGAGCTATAAGACAGTCTCCACTCTTTCTTTCAATTTTTTATTACTTTTTTTAAAGTTTTACATGACATTAGAGTGTATTTTGACAATATACATGGAGTATAACTTCCCATTCTTGTGGTTATGCATGATATGGAGCTACACTGGTCTTATATTCATATACGAACAAAGGAAAGTTATCCCCAATTCATTCTACTGTCTTTGCTATTCCCATTCCTCTTCCTTCCCCTTCATTCCCCTTTGTCTAATCCAAAGTATTTCTATTCTTCCCTTCTAGCCCTCTTATTGTATGTTAGCATTCACATATCAGAGAGAACATTTGGCCTTTGGTTTTGGGGGATTTTCTTATTTCACTTAGCATGATAGACTCTAGTTCCATCCATTTGCCAGCAAATGCCAAATCTCATTTTTCTTTATGGTTGAGAAATATTCTATTATATGTATGTGTGTTTGTGTGTTTGTGCGTGTGTGTGTGTGTGCGTAATACATATATATAATTTTATATATGTATGCAAGTTATTTTTTTTCCTTATCCATTCATCTGTTGAAGGACACTTAGACTAGTTCCATAATTTAGCTATTGTGAATTGAGCTGCCATAAACCTGGATGTGGCCAAGTCACTATAGTATGCTGATTTAAAATTCTCTGGGTATATAACAAGGAATGAGATAAATAGGTCAAATGGTGGTCAGTCTCCATCCTTAATAATCCTTCAGTCTGAGGGGAAGACAGAAATATAAACAGATGAGGTCAGGTTAAGGGTTCTATGAAATATGACAGTGGAGCTTCAAGGAGATGGGAGGCTCAGTCCCACGAT